AACAAACTTGCAGGGTTAAATTTCAACTATATATATTGCACAAAAGTTTTATTCACAGAAAGTGACAAGATACTATAAATTATTATTCTACTGATATAGGTTCGTATTGTATAAAGCGGATTATTATTTGAAGAGCTACCAACTACCACTAACTGATATAAATTTTTTTGTATTGGTACTTTTGTTTAAGAATCTCATTTCATTATGTATTTTAATGCATAATTTTAACAAAATATACCATTAAATTTATAATATAATTTTAGAAGTCTTTCAATTTTTTTCTTTTATTTTTTTTTTGTGTAAATTTATTTGCTTTTGATAAAGTGTGTACAAATAAATACCAACAAATTATAATTTAATCAACGACATAGATTATAAATTAAAATTTTTCTTCAAGTTTAGCTAGTCTTTTAGTAAATACTAGATACATGTTTTAGTAAATAAAATAATCTTTATATAAATACTGTTATATTTATTTAGCTTTTATTGTTTATGAATAGTATAATGATAATTTAAAATTAAAAAAAAACAAAGGGAAAAAAATAAATCATCAAATCTATGCATGCTTGGATACAAATTCAACCGAAAAAATACCAATCATTTTTAACTTAACTATTTTTTTTAACTCAACTTTAACCCAACCTAATAACTATCATAAATATTATCAATATAATTAAATAATATCAATCAAACATTCTTACACACAACATCAACCTTAATTCACTATTTATCAACTCATATAATTTTAATTAAACATCACATCACATCTTCTCTCTCCTACTTTTACATCAATTTAATTTTAATCATTTATTTTAAATATTATTTTAATATACTCACTAACAACTAACCATACCAACTTTTTCAAATTTAACCAACCCAAACCAAAAATCCAATCAAAACAAAAACTTTTTATATCCAAGCATGCTAACTTTCACATGTAGAAAGACTTCTAGAATAATTCTATCTCTTTCATGCCACATCAGCATAAATAGAAATAGAAAAAATATTGTTGGAGAAGTTCTTTCATCGGATTGCTTCTATAATCCTACAATTCACATGCTGTTGGAGATGCTCTAACAAGTCATCGGGTGTATTCATTTGAGATTTCTAAAGATTTTTTAATATTTTTGAAATCTTATTGTATTAAATATAGACTTCTAAAAATATTGAGATGTTCATTTGCGATTTTAAAAAATCTTACAAAATCCTGAGGCATACAACTTATTTAAGACTACGATTTGTTAAGACTTCTTAAGATTTTCTGAGATTTCTAAATAAGAAAGAAAAAAAAAACATATACAAAATCTCACTCCAAATCTAACTTCCAGACTTAAGATTTCACATGATTCTTCCTAAATCTGAAATTATTAAAAAGTCTCAGATCCTAAAAAGTCTCAAAATGTCACTAGAAATCTCAACGAATACACCCCTTAGTCTCTTACACATTCTAGAGTAAAATTTATTATCTCGAAGGAAAAAACCAACCTCCAGACATAAGATCTCGTATGATTCCTCGTAAATCAGAAAATTTTAAAATGTTTCAATCTTAAACTGCCACTCAAAATTACAAACGAACTCCTCACCCTCAAATATTTCATGAATACAACTTTAGATTTAAGAAACTTGGTGGCAACTAGTTAGATTTTACTGGCCCAATAGCTATAAATAAGATTGCACGACAATTTTGAGGCCATAGGGATACACAAGTATGTCTTGGGCCTGAGGCGGGCTCAGTGGCGTAGCCATATAAAGGCCAATGTGGACCTAGACCCACACTGG